AGAAGCAGAACCCGCAGCTGAGGCTCCAGTAGGGTGCCCGGGCCTGTACGTGTGGGGGGCTCGCCTCTCTCTGCCTGCCAGGCTCACTCTCAGGTCCCTCCTCTGTAGTCCAGCTGTGCTCCCTGCATGGGGGGGTCCCCGTGAGCTTCCCGTTGAGGGGCTGCCCCAGCTTTCCCTGGGTTAAGCCTGATTCTGCACCCAAGTGGCAGCCGGCAGGACCAGGTCCGGAGGCCCACGGTCAGCCCCAGCCCTATCTACTCTGCTGTGCCCCCATCTGTCCATCCAACTGGTGCAAATTAGTATATTTAAAATGGAGAGCACCCCTCCAATGACCAGGAGAGACACACATGGAAATACAGACTTTGTTACTACAGGCCCTGGGGCACACGGCACGCCCAGAGGCCGCACGTGGAGGTCAGGGAGCACGGGAGGGCAGTCATGAGGGCCAACACCTTAGTGGGTCCAGGATGCTGTCCAAGCAGGCTTCCCGAGGGGAGTTTCAACTGTGGGTTTAGAGCAGGCAGGCACGATCTCCACGAGGTCACGCTGGGCTGAGAGGTGGTCATTCATTGCAGCCTATCTGTGCAGTCCATGAGGGGTGTGGGGTCAGCAGGGCCCATCCAGCAGGCTGCACCTCGCTGTCCCTTAGGGAGCTGGTCACCAGGAGTTAGCTGTCTAAGGCAGGTGTTTGGATCGACCATATCGAGGAACTAGGAGGAGGTAGGAACTGGGGACTGTGTTGAGGTCACTGAGCCCTGATTCTGGTGTGAGAAAGTCCAGCTTGTATTCAAAACAGGTGTCAAGGCAACATGAAATGACAAACATTCACCACACCAACAAAATCCACTGAGCCCCAGTCCGGGCACAGGGCAGCTCTGAGACAGCCACACAGGCTGGCAAGGGAGGGAGACCAGCCAGAGGACAGCAGCTATGCAGGGAACCAGTGCTGGAGAGGGAGAGGAGGGGCAGGGTGGGGACACGGTGGGGGCTGGGAGGGGGAAGTCCCAGACCAATCAGTGGAGGAACTCCATGCTGAGACCCAGAAGGTAAGGGCAAGGAAGAGGCACATGTGGGCATGCATGTGTGCAGGTGGGCGTGTGTGTGCATACGTGTCTCTCTGTGTGTGCATGTGGGCATGTGTGTGCATACATGTCTGTGTGTGTGCAGGTGGGTGTGTGCACACGTGGGCTTGTGTGCATACATGTCTCTGTGCGTGTGGGCTTGTGTGTATACATGTCTCTGTGCGTGTGGGCTTGTGTGTATACATGTCTCTGTGCGTGTGTAGGTGGGCACGTGTGCATACATGTCTGTGTGTGCACGTGGGCGCATGTGTGCATACGTGTTTCTGTGTGTGTGCACGTGGGTGTGTGCGTGCATACATGTCTCTGCATGTGCACATGGGCGTGTGTGTGCATACATGTCTCTGTGCATGTGTAAGTGGGCACATGTGTGCATGCATGTCTCTCTGTGTGTGCATACATATCTGTGTGTGTGCACGTGGGTGTGTGTGTGCATACATGTCTCTGCATGTGCACATGCATGTGTGTGTTGGACAGGGCTGCTACGGTTTGAATGTCCCCTCTAAAACTCATGTGGAAATTGAATTGCCATTGCAGCAGTATGAAGAGGTGGGGGCTTTAAGAGGTGATTACCTCATGAGGGCTCTTCACGAAGGAATTAATGCTGTTATCACAGGAGTGGGTTAGTTATCACGGGAGTGGGTTCCTAACAGAAAGAATGAGTTGTGCCCTACTTTTTCTGTCTCACATGCTCACTCACCCTTCCCCATGTTAGGATTCAGCAAGAAGATGCTCACCAGATACAGCCCCTCAACCTTGGACTTCCCAGCCTCCAGAACAGTGAGCCAAATAAACTTCTTTTCTTTATAAATTGCCCAGTCTATAGAAGTCTGTTATAGATGAAGAAAACAAACTGAGATGAGGGGAACTTTCCAAGTAAAGAAACGGAATATCTGACCTCCTGGAGGGGAGGGGCCCACTGTGTAGGGAGCAACGGAGGTTGTGGGGGGCANCGCTATCAGCACCGCACTCTCCCAAGTGAGCCACCGGGCCGGCCCTAAACTTCTTTTCTTTATAAATTGCCCAGTCTATGGAAGTCTGTTATAGATGAAGAAAACAAACTGAGATGAGGGGAACTTTCCAAGTAAAGAAACGGAATATCTGACCTCCTGGAGGGGAGGGGCCCACTGTGTAGGGAGCAACGGAGGTTGTGGGGGGCAGATTGTTGGTGTCACTCAGTTCAGGGATGGGGAAGGGACAGGGTGGGTGGACCAGGCTGGGATTTGCTGTCGGGGTGACAGAAATGAGACAGGACAAGGCAGGGCTGGCGTGCATGACCCCAACCCCTCTTCCTGGGCACATGACTACATTCTGACCAGTGGTGTGCAGGCAGGAGTGACACATACCACATCCCAGCCCGGCCTGTCCCCTGGTCCTCCTTTCCCATCATGGCGACCCTAGAGGCCACTCATTCCCTGCTAGTGTAGCCCAAATGGAGGAGGGTGCCCAGTCCACATCAGACTGATTTGAGGGGCTTAACATACAGTGTGATTGTTAACTCTATGTGTCAACTTGACTGGGCCATGAGGTGCCCAGATTAAACATTGTTTCTGGGTGTGTCTATGAGGGTGTTTCCAGATGAGGCCAGGATTTGCACTGGTGGCTCTGTAAAGCTGATGGCCCTTCCCAATGCGGGTGGGCATCACCCAATACACTGAGGACTGGATAGAACAAAAGCCAGCAGAAGGAGGGAGTCACCTGTCCTTCCTGCCTGCTCGTGCTGGGCCATTGGTCTCCTGCCCTTGATCTGGGACTTGCACCATCAGTGCCCCCGGTTCTCAGGCCTTTGGACTCAGACTACACTATGCCGCTGGTTTTCCTGGGTCTCCAGCCTGCAGACAGCAGATTGAGGGACTTCTCGGCCTCCAGAATTGCATGAGACGGTTTCCCATTTTATATACAGTGGTGAGTTACTTAGTGATGAGAACACGTTCTGCAAAATGCGGTGTCAGGCAGTGGACATCTGTCAGGCAGTGGACATCAGACAGCACTCACACAAACATGGGTGGTGTAGACCATCGCACACCCAGGTGTTGTGCAGCCTCTGGCTCCAGGCTGTAAACCTGTACAGCATGTCAGTGTACTGAACGCTGTCGGCAATCGTAACACAATGGTGAGTATTTGTGAATCTAAACATGTC